GGAGAAGGAATCCAGGGGCTGGGTAACAATGGGAGCAGCTGTAGGTGTGCACATCCTCCCTCTGCAGGCTCCCCGGGGCTGCTGCACTGCTGCACTCCCTCCAGCACCCTCCTGCAAGCCCTGCTTTCTGGTTGCAGCAAGCAACTATCAGCAGTGAAATATTGGGGGGTAGTTTCTATTTCTAAGGCAGAATTATCTATTTTGCACTTGCTGGTACAAAAGCCAGCACTGCACTGTCAAGGTGCTCCAGGCTGTGTAATGCGGATACGGACTCAATACACAAGGAGCACAAGAACTGCAGCCCACACAACACTGGGTGACTACTGAAAGGGAGAAAAAAGCATTTTAAAACTGAGGCATTTGGGTGAAAAGAAAACCGAGCTTAAAATTAAATTTATTACTTTAATTTCATGCTGTTTATTTTCCCTCCTCCCTGGTCTTGCATTCCCACAGCATGTAAAGAAAGGCTGAGAGAATTGGTATTGCTCAGACTGGAGAAAAGAAGCCTCCAGTGTGACCCCACTGTGCCACTTAGTACCTAAAAGGGCTACAAGAAATAGGGAGAGGGAGTCTGGACAAGGACAAACGGCTTTTAAACTCAAAGACAGTAGGTTTAGACTGGATATTAGGAAGAAATTTTTTACTGTGAGAGCAGCGAGGCTCTGGCACAGGTTGCCCAGAGAAGCTGTGGATGTAAGGACAGGCTGGATGGGGCTCTGAGCAACCTGGGACAGCAGAAGGTGTTTCTGACCATGGCAAGGGGGGTTGGAACTGGATGAGCTTTAAGGTCCCTTCCAACTCAACCATTCCATGATTCCATGTTCTCATTCCTCAAAGCAGGTTTGAAGACAAAATACACAATCAAGGGGTTTATAATGAAAACAGTTATTAGACGTTAACAAGAAGATCATACTACACCCACAATGAAGTGAAAAATCAAACGTATTTCAGCCAGACAATATTCTTTCAAGGTCTACAGTCCAACAGCAACAAAAGCTGCATCCTAGACCACTCCAAAGCCATTGACACTCACCTGTAACAGCAATCATACTTTCTTAAATAGGAACTTCACATACAGAAATTGTAGGTAACAATCTCATTACCAATACCCTCCTTATAGAACAACAAAACCAAAAATACTATTTCACTCCTAACATTTCAAATACTTCGCTGCTCAGCTAGTTTAGATAGGGAAGGGAATATAGTAAGGGATTTTGTATTGAAATTTTGACAGTTTCAGAAACTTCAGAAACAGTCTAGATCTTATTTTTAACACTGCGCTTTACCACAGTACTTTGCATGTTGTTTATTTTTATACAAATAGCTACATGATACAATTTTAAACTTTCATAAAATGGATTCTATGACATCCAATTAAGTGTAATTAGCACTGTGTGATATTTAAATGATTTAATTTAAAATTATTTAAGCCAGTAGTTCCTCTAATCTACGCACGTAACACAAGCACCAAAGAAACTCCAAAGACAGAGGGGCCCTGCTGTCTTTCTTATCAAGAAAAAAGATAAGTAAAAACAAAAGCCATCACCTCTAAAGAGAGTGACAAATTAAAAAACTCAGCATAGACAAGCTGTGCTCTTAAATCTCTTAAGTTACAAGATCTGATTGATAGAAATGTTACTGTCATTGTTTCACAGAGGTTTACCTGAATGGAAGCAGATGATATTCTGTGGAATAACCTAAAGCACAAACCACTGAATTACAGCATTTAGACTACTACAATGCAACTGGCTCATCTGTCCATAATTTAAAACTGTTCTGCTTCATCAGATCTACATCTGGCTATTTTTGCTGCCAGCCAATCCCTGCTGAACTGAAGAGGCTGCATTGAGAAAGAAAAATTAGACTCCCTCTTACAAGAGCAGATAACTTTATATACTAACTTAAAAAAAAAATCTGTAAGTCTCACTGAAGTTTAGAGAGCTCAAAAGAAATTGATGACCTGAGAAAGCTTTTTTTGTGTTTTAAATGCAAATTAATGGAACACAAAGAAGGCAAAAAGACACACAGAAAAATACCACGAAGCTTTTGAAGCACAATGACAAATTTCTTTCATTCTTACTTTTTTTAATTACGATGAATTAATGCATAATGTACAGAGATACCAGAAAAGCACTGTGTGCTGTAAAGTATAATTTACAAAATTCAAACTCACCTGAAGACAAAACTGATAATTTTTGACATTAGTAATTGTTTGCAGCTGAGAGGATTTGAATGTATGAATATATTTTGGTGTACTTAGTTACCTGTAACACCAGGTGTGTACTGTCAAACTGTACAACAAACCCTCAAATGTATTTTGCAACACAAGGGTTTTTGCTGATTAACTTCTCACACAAAAGAACATTAATTATTTTTCCAAGTCTCTTAAATATAATTTCTGTTCCTCACTGCCCAGTCCATGTGATCTTGAAATGGCATGTTTGTAGAGGACTTAAACAAAATTTATATTACCATGTTATCCATGAGCATCATCAATCCATATTTTGCAGACTTCAAGACTCAGAAGTAACTACGGGGATGTCCTGACTGTGATGTACTGAATATTCTTACTACCCTCACCTGATACTGAAAATAGAACTACCTGAATAAAGTTGTTTTATTAATTTCACTGAGAGTTTCTCCAAACTGTAACTGGACTCTACTAACAACTACTCTTTGAAGCTAACTCTGAAAATACCTGGACTTCTGTATTTAATTTGTCAGTGTCTCTCTTCTTCAGTGTGTCCATCCTCAATGTTTAAATTCCTATCTAAAGGACTAACAGAAAGGTGTCTCAAAAAGAAAGAGTAGTCTGAAGGAAAATACCTGTTTCTGAATGCTGAGCTTGCTTAGCTTTCCTAAGCATACTTTGCTCTTTCAATTTGTGCAGGTGTTAGTGGAGTTTTTGCTGTGCATCTACAAGACATTTACTAACAATCTACAACAGACAAGTCAAACCTACAGTCCCACCCCAAGGTTTATTCCACAGCTAAATTCTACTACTTCATTCCATTTCTATTGGTCTTTGGACATGAACATCTCATCTAAAACACATCAAACAAAAACACCCCAAAACTTCAGTTCAGAGACTTACTTCATTTTCTGAAGATCATCTTGTGCTCTAGCCAAGGCTGCTTCTGCAGCTCTGGCTCTGTGTTCCGCATGTTTTAATTGTTCAAGGAGCACCATGGTATCACTTAAACCATTAGAAGGCAAAACTTTCACAGGTTCACAAAGATCTTCTATGTCTGATGAAAGAGGGAGGAAAAAGAATACCTGCCAATCATGTACGGCTTCACAGCAGATCATAAACATTTCATACCATTTGTGTCTTTGGATGCTTTGCACAAGCTGGTTGCTTTACAAAAGGCACTGAATTTGACAGGGCTAACTACAGAACACAAGACCAGGCAAAAAAAGGCAATATGCCAGAAGCATGGTCTAAGTTAAGGCAAATAAATCCAGAATTCAGGCTTCCTTAAATACCAGTGTTTGATTATTTCTAGAAAAGACATTTGGTTTTGATATAATTAAATTAGATATAATTAGTACGTGGACTTTCTCAGATACATACATCAATTGAGTAACAGTGACAATGCTTCACATGTCATGAACTTTGACAGTACCACATTCACCCCACAAAGCAGGAGTCATACTGAAGCAGTTATTTACCAAACTGAAGCAGGAGATCATCTTCCAGTTCTGGTTTCAAATACTCCTCTCCTTCCCAAGGCAGTGGACTGCTAAGAGAACTTAAATATTCTCCAGATGGTTTCTAGACAGGAGAAAAACATATAAGCTAAGTTTCTCTGAAAACACCAGCCCTTCAATTTCATTCAAGAAAACAAGGCAAAGACATACTCTGTCACACAGTAAAATATGCAGGGCATTACTGAAGGAGCTTTGTAAGAAAGCCAGGGAAAGCCCAGGCAACTCCAGGATCAAGGAATTCAGTGCAAGCAGTAATGCACAGCACATTGATAGATATTGAAGGATACACTTGCAGGATTGCACTGCTCTCAGGAATGAAGTTCACTCAGGTGTTTGCCTAATTGATGCCAAGATACTAATCCTGTCAGGTGTTCTTGCATAAACAGTGCTGTAGGGACAAAAGTCAGACACACTGTAGTCTCCTCTTTGCATCCAATTAATACTTGGTTAGGAAAAGAGAAGTCAGTTTTGGGCTTCAGTTTTTGCCTTTCTGTGTTTACATAGTTATTCATTAAATAACTACTTGAGGATTTAAGACTTGAAGACTGAAGTAAAAAATACTTAATAAAGTAAGACGGTATTGAGTTTTAACCTCAACTTTTAGGGAATAACGAAATAACAAAGTCAAAAGACACACAAGCTATAGGAAAGCCTATCTTAAAACTGTAGGTTCTCATTAGCTTTCCTGACTCAGGTATCATTTTAGCAGAGTTTTAAGTTCTGTAACTTAAGGTATCAGATACTGTCCTTACTAAGTAGGGGTCTGGCCAGCTCATGCACTCAGGAAAGGCTTTTACACCAGGACACATGCAAGGACTGAGAAATTTCAGTTCTTGAGAAGTGAACCCTTTTCTGAAGTGAGACAGCAGAGTCGAAGGCCCAAAAAAACCTAATAAAATAAGATAATAATGCACAGTATGGAGGCTTTGTGCAAATCTCAACATCCTCTTCTGAAAACCTTCACATTAATTAAATATATTTAAAACAGCCTCATTTCTATATAAACCAATCAACAGTTACATTAATTCCAATGATTTCTTTTTCTAAAACTACAATACAAAATCTCATGCAATTATTAGAAATGAGCAAACTGAAAGCACAGCACTATTCTCCAGAGTCAGAGCACAGAAGTAGTATGCAGCACACCTACCTTTAATCTGACAAAGTTTATTAGTTTAATGTATCCATAAAAATTGAGTCCTGAGAGGAAAAAAATAAAAAGGGAGAGAGCATTTGTATTACAGAGAAGACCACATGTTTTACAGTTATGTGAATACTAATTACCTGTTCAATTGATAATTGTTTCAAACTTCCTCTTGGGTACACATCACTATCTAGAGCAGTCTTCCTATCTTAAGTTTGCCATTTATATTTTTCTTCACTACAGGACTAACCCAGGAAATTCTCACCCTCAGGGCAAATACATCTGCCACAAATTAAGACTGGAAGACATCCAACTGGGAATTATGAAGAGGGATTTCATTCATTTAGCAATCAAGTACATCAGTATAGACAGTTTTATGTCCTACCAGCTACCTTGATGACATTTTAGGCTGTTGTGCTCCCTTGTTCATATTTTTAGCTTTCAGCTTAAAAGAAAGTAAACTGATGTTAGTCATCAAGAATATCTACCAATATTGATTTAAAATTGCCACTTTGGCAAGAGCAATGGTAGTTTAAATGTGTTCTCTCCCCAGGAACAGCAAAGATAAACCCAAAATACTTTTTCTTGGATTTTAGACAGAAAACAGACTATATATTATATATTGTAAGATCTACAATATATACTATAATAGATCTTACAATATATAATATATAATGGCAGCTTCAAGTGACAGCCAACCTTAAACTTGACTAAAAAGAATTTAACAGACACGGGAGGATAGCCTTCCTATGATCATCTGAAAGACACAAGCCATGGGCTTTGCTAAATACTGAGCCCAACAACAGCATCACTGGTCAGGCAAGAGCTCCCAGCAGATCAGATCAAACCAGATCAATCATGTAGTGTCTGGCTCAGGTCCATCAAGTAGGCAGTGAAGAATCAGCACATGCCAACAGAGATCAATCTCACTTTTGTCACTAGTTGAGAACTTTACCAGTAGAAAAAGCATGCAGGAAGCAGACAGCATAAAAAAATGTACAAGCATTTTTCTGCAATAGCTCATCTTATTCAATCTTGGAAGCTTCAGCTGCAAACCAGGAGATCAGACAGAAACAAATTAATATTTGCAACTTATTTTAAATAAGTACACAAAAAGAAATGACAAATCATGAAAAAAACTTACCGTGTTTCTGGATCACATCACTAACATCAAACTGATGCTCTGTTTTGCAGTGGGAGAACACAGCTTCAGCAGAACTAAACGACCTGTAAATAACAAACTATTAAATATCCAATACTGACATATTAAGTTCTAACTTATTAGTGCTATATGCTCTCTTCTGACTTGTTCTTGACTCAGAACTCTGTTCTGTTCTGCACAATTCAGAACACATTTCCTGCCTTTGAGAAAGGATGACCAGGCACTGGCTTACATGCCTCAGAAAGATTTTACCTTTCAAACATTTTGAAACAAAAGCCAATGAACAAAAAAAAAAAAATTTAACAGATCCTGTTAACTTCAAACACTCCCTGAGAGTAAAGCCTGCGTTAAACCTGAGAACCACATTAGCACAAGGTGAGTGGGGCAGCTTGACCTACTGCATCGAAATAAAAACCCTCATCTCGTCATCTCATCTCGTCGTCTCGCCCATATGGCGATGGGAAAAAAGAGGGAAAAAAAACAACAGAGAGAGAGAAGAGCCTTCACGCAGCTTCTGCAAGAGGGAAGGGGATTACCACGTTACTCCTTCCTTCAGTCTGAATCTAACACACCTTTGGCTCCACAGAGTCCGTGTACACGATCAATAAGCTACAGAGCGAGGCTACAAAGTAGGAATTCACCATCTACCTCCCGCGGGCCGAGGCCGGGCGCTCGGAGCGCAGCGCGCTCCTCATG